CGTATATGCCTTCACACCAGAAGAGGGCGCCAGATCTCATTACAGGTGGTTGTGAGCCACCATGTGGTTGCTGGGAATTGAGCTCAGAACCTCTGGAAGAACAATCAGTTCTCTTAACCTCTGAGCCATCTCTCTGATTTCTCTTTCTTAAAGATATTTATTTTTTATTTATGCGGGTATTACTACATGAATGTGTGTGTGCGTGTGTGTGTGTGTGTGTGTGTGTGTGTGTGTGTGTGTGTGTGTGTGTGTGATAATGAGTTTAAGTATCTGCAGGTGCTAGGAGGCATACACTGCCTTAAAACTGAAAACTGCCTTAAAACTTACAGGCAGTAGTGAGCTCCCTGATGTGGGTGCTGGAAACAAACCCAGATCCTCTGCACGAACTGAGTGGGCCGCTAATGCCTGAACAACTCTCCAGCCCCATTTCCCTTTTTGATGCTTAAAGCCCTGTGGGTTGCTTCCCTGGCCCTCTGCTGGCCTTTTCTTTCTGGGTACCCTCAGTGTGGTCCTTTTTCTGTGTAGCTGCCAGTGATGCACATGCCAGACAGTCAGGTGTGCTGATGTGCAGCACTATTATCTCTGGGTGTCCTGCAGGCACATGAAAAGAGTTGTCCCCAGAAGCTCCTTTGGGGACTAAGCTTTCTGCCTTCCACAGGGAGCTTCATTGTTCCCACTTTTGTCTTTAGAGTACTTCATCTTCCACATCTTTTCTGGTTTTTTGAGAGAGAATTTCTCTGTGTTACATACAGCTCTGGCTGTCCTGGAACTCACTCTGTAGACCAGGCTGATCTCTGACTCAGAGCTCTGCCTACTTTTGCCTCCTGAGTGCTGGGATGAAAGGCGTGTGCCATCACCGCCTGGCTGGAAAACTGCTTTTTGAATCAAGAAAGAGGTAGCAGAAGCTGTCAGCCACAGATGGACATTCCTGACTAGAGCTCATTCCCACCCTGAGTTGTCCAAGGTTGGCTGCTTGGGTATTGGCAGCATTGGTTCTGGCTTAGGTCAGCATCTCACTGGGTTTTTTTGTCCTTCGATTTAGGGTCACAAGATATCTGCAGTAGCTCCAGGTTTTAGGTCCCTGCCTGATATGAAAGACATGTAGCGTTTCTTTTTGTCCAGTCTCCCTGTGGTGGTGAGAAATCTTTCCCACAAGTCCCCAAGTGATCCTCCTCGGAGCTGGTGTTCTGAAATGGGTCTCATGGAGCACCCCTGAACCCATGCTCCCTGAGTACCTTGCTCAGGCATGCCTTCCCAATTGAACATTTAGAAACTGAGCAGAATCTGGGTGCCCTGATAGTGAGGGTAAGGTGGCATCTGTGTCTGTCTATCAGACACCTACCATGAGGGAAACCTACTTCAGAAAGAGCTGGCCCACCTGAGTGGCCAAGCAGGGTTCTGTGTGGTCATAGATCTGTGGGGCCCTACCTGTTTGTGTGCTTTGCCTGAGCTGTGTACCCACATGGGAGAGCCTTTTCAAACCCTTCCATATGAGTACCAAACACTCTCAAGGAAAAAGACGCAGTTTGTTATATATATAATTATATTTTATCTTATATATTTATATTGTATTAATATATTGATATATATATATAAAATATATATTGATATATTATGGGCTGGAGAGATGGCTCAGCAGTCAAGAGCACTGACTGCTCTTCCAGAGGACCTGAGTTCAATTCCCAAGCACCACATGGCCCCTCACAGCTGTCTGTAACTCCAAGATCTGACACCCTTAAGTTGGGTGTGATGGTACACACCTTTCATCCTAACACTGAGAGGCAGGGGCAAGAGGATCTCTGTGAATTCAAGGCTATCCTGGTCTATATAGCAAGTTTCAGGACAACAAGGACATAGAGAACCTGCCTCAAACAAACAAACAAACAAACAAACAAACAATAATCATAATCATAATAAAATTAAAAGACAGTTGTTTATTTTGTTAGCTAGATAGAAAATACTAGAATGGGCACAGTGTATTTGGGGTGGGTTTGTGTCTGGCTGCTTTCGCACTGTTGGGAGTTAAACTGCAGACCTGCCGCCTGCTGGACCAGCGCTCTAACCCTGACCTGGTCCCAGCTCTGTGCCGCCTGCTGGACCAGCGCTCTGACCCTGACCTGGTCCCAGCTCTGTACTGTGTGCTGGACCAGCGCTCTAACCCTGACCTGGTCCCAGCTCTGTGCCGTGTGCTGGACCAGCGCTCTAACCCTGACCTGGTCCCAGCTCTGTGCCGCGTGCTGGTGAAGTTCTGTGCTGAAGACAGGGAAGCTCTGTCTCTGCTTCGTGGGTGATGAAGGACGAGTTCTCACCAGTGTTAAAGGAAAGGCTCCTTCCAGGTTAGGGTTTGACCTGGAGATGACTGAGATGTCCACATCAGCGCCTGACTGCACTGAACTTACACGTGTCCGAGTCAAATGTCGGAGCCAGGCGGCTGTCAGATGCTGCGCTGACGCCTGTCTGGATCTGCATCCGCAGTCATGTGAGTGGTAAAAATACCCGAGTTCACACTGCTGCCAGCATTTGAGACTGCACAGTTGAGAGCTGGCTTCTGACAACATCAGATAGTTTAAAGGAGTGGACCCAGAGGATCTCCCCGTGAAGAGCCTTCCTCCACTAGCATTAGGCTGGACTGAAGTCATTGTTCTGTATCATTGTATGTGATGCTGGAGATCACACCCAGCCTCCATGCTAGGCAGACACCCCACCGGAGCTGCTCTTCAGCCCTGAAATTCTCTTTTTTTATTTTCCTCACTGTTATTTTGGACAGGATGACCCAGGTTGTCCTCAAACTCATGATAATCCTTTTTTCTCCCTTTTTGGTTTTTTTCGAGACAGGGTTTCTCTGTGTAGCTTTGGAGCCTATCCTGGAACTCGCTCTGTAGACCAGGCTGGCCTCTAACTCACAGAGATCCACCTGCCTCTGCCTCCCACTGTGCTGGGAATAAAGGCGTGCGCCACCACCGCCCGGCTCTGCCTCAGTCTCTTGAGTGCTGGAATTCCAGGCATGAGTCACTATGCTTGGCTTCTGAAAATTCTTCCAGGGCATTTTCTCTAAGAAACTACTAAGTCCCCCACCCCAACCCCCACTTTTTTTTTTTTTCCTAAGATTTATTATGTACATAGTATTCTGCCTGCCTGCAGGCCAGCAGAAGGCACCAGATCTCACTACAGATGGTTGTGAGCCACCATGTGGTTGCTGGGAATTGAACTCAGGTCCTCTGGAAGAGCAGCCAGGGCTCTTAACCTCTGAGCCATCCCTCCAGCCCCTAAGTCCCAGTTTTTAAAGCTGGTATGTAAAGGAATGTTTTTATATTTATTATTTGTTTGGGTTTATTGCTTGCTTGTTTGAGATAAAATTTGACCATGTAGCCCTGGGTGGGCTGAAACACACTGTGTAGACCAGGCTGGCCTCAAGCTCACAGAGATGTGCTGGGATTGATGGCATGACCCACCGTGCCTGGCATGTCTCTGCTTTAGTTGTAGAATGATGGTGAGCTCACTTTAGATAGACTTCTGTAAAGTGGATGGATACCCTCCCTATTAATTTAAAAGTTACAGGCAGCAACATTATTTGAAGTACACTAGACTTTGCAAGAATACATCTCCATCATTCTGGAAAATGCCTTTAATCTGTCTCCAGCCTCTCCGATGGCGCGAGTCGTTTGTGTTGTTGCTCAGTGCACAAGCTGCCGTGGTTACTGTGGAGGGAGGCTCGGGCGACCAGTGCTGCTGTAGCGTGCATGAGACCCGGGGTTCCGTCCCCTCACCCCACAAACTAGAGATCATGCCTGTAACCCCAGCGGTTTGGAGGGGAAGGCAGGAGGGTTAGAGTTCAAGGTTATCTCAACTCTGGAGGGAGTTAAAGACCAGCCTGGGCTCTGTGAGTCCTTGACTGAAAGGGGGAAAAGAAGTTGTTATTATTGCCTCGTCAGAGTCGCACGTTGAGGGCTGGGGGGTGGCGCTGGCGTTAGAGCACCACTGGGCTTGCAGAGAGCACCAGGCCTCAGGTTCCCAGTGCCCATGTGGCGCTCACGACAGTCTGTATTGTAGCTCTAGCTCCGGGGATCTGATGCTGCTTCTGGCCTCTGCAGGCACTGGGCGTGCAGGCAGATAGTCATATACATAAAAATAAATAAGCCATTAAAAATAATCTTAATCACAGGCTAATTTGTAGTTTTAGTGTTGGAGATCATTTCCGTTATCAGATGTTTGGCTTCCTGAGGAAAGGGGCACGTTAGCTCAGGGCAGCTGTTGGAGGGGGCACAGGAGGCGCAGCAGCAGCAGACAGGCCTTGGACAGGAAGAAGGAAGGTGCATTAGGAGAGTGGAGACAGCCACACTGACGCTCTCTGCCCATCACTCCACACTGTTGATTTGTGTCATGACAGGTCACTAGGACAACCCTATGTTGATGGTTTCATTGGCTTTCCGTTTGTGGATCTGCTGCAGTCTTGTACACAGCACACAGCCACGGGCATGCCAGCTAAGGCTCCTGCTGTCATGGATCACGCTTGTGCCCCAGCCTGGGCATCGCTCCCCTCTGGCCTCGCCTTGTTTCGTGGCTATTTGTTACATGAATGAATAAGTGAATTAACACCTCGGAATGTTTGGTATAGCTATTTCGCAAGCTCTTCCGCAGGGAGAAAGACAAGAGACGTGAAAGGACTCTCTTCCTCTAGTGTGTCTTGCTGTGACCACTCTGTGACATACAGGAAATCTAGGAATAAATGAGCTCACAGGCCTGAGTCTTCCCAAGCTGCTGCAAATCCATGATTTTTGTTTGGTGTGCATGTGTGTGTGTGTGTGTGTGTGTGTGTGTGTGTGAGAGAGAGAGAGAGGGGGGGGGGGACGACTGTGGAGGCCCGGAGAGGGTTTTGGACCCTCTGGAGCTGGAGTTGGCGGCCGTTGTGAGTCATTGCCATGGGTGCTGGGCCCCAGACGCCGGTCCTCTGGAAGAGCAACGGGGGTCACTGTGTGCTCACTCTTCCTTCTCTCCTTCAGGCTGGAGTGAAAGGGACGCTGGGAAGACTGGTTGGAGTTTTTGAGGTAAGTCTGTTAATGCCTTGGCTCTAGAGTTGTTAATTAACCACGTTGTCCTGCCTTTGCCTTCTGTGTCTCACTGAGTGTCAGGGCACGCAGCACAGCAGACAGACAGTATTCTCTGCTCTTTCCTTTTACTGTTTGTATTTATGTGTATACATATGTGTGCGTGTCTGTGGAGGCCTGAGACAACTTCACACGTCATTCCTTAGGAGCCATCTAGCTTATTTCATTCATTCATTCATTCATTCATGGAAAGGGCCTCTCACCGGACTGGAGCTCATCAGATAGGTTGGATTGAGTCCCAGAGGTCCCTTGTTCCCACCTCCCCAGGCTGAGATCACAGGCTTAATTGACCTCTATGCCCAGCTTCTTCTCTGGGTTCTGGAGTGAGCTCAGGCCCCAAGCGTGTGCAGAGAACTGCTTATCCCTTCCTGCTGCTCCTTCTCTTCCAGGGTGAGAGGAAAAGAGGAGAAGGGAAGACAGGGGGACAGACTGGGTGGAAAGGAGGTGTCAGGACGTGAGAAATAGGGTCGGTACAGTCGGGAGAGAGGATGCGGAACTCACTCAGCTCGTTTGCACAATGGCCCTGCACAGCCACAGTCTGCACACTCCCCTTTCCAGATCCCAGCATTCCTGTGAAGTTGTGGTCAGGAGGAGGAGGAGGAGTGTAAAGATTGGACTTGAAGAGTCTGGACACAGGCTAGACAGATGGCTCAGCACATTAAGAGTGCTTGCCAGCCAGGCATGGTGGTGCACACCTTTAATCCGAGCACTCATGAGCCAGAGGCAGGTGGATCTCTATGAGTTCAAGGCCAGCCTGATCTGTAGAGTGAATTCCAGGACAGCCAGAACTATGTAGAGAGACCCTATGTCAAAAAAGAAGACAAAGGAGGAGAAAAAGAAGTCCTTGCTGCTTGAGCATGGTGGCATACCCTTTAATCCCCACACCCCCAGGGAGACAGAGGCAAGAGGATCTCTGTGAGTTCAAGGCCAGTCTGGTCTACATAGCAATTTCCAGGCCAGCCAGGGCTACACACACATACATACACTAAGAAAACCTTAAAAGCTGGGCAGTGGTGGCGCACACTTTTAATCCTAGCACTCAGGAGGCAGAGCCAGGTGGATCTCAAGGCTCTGGTGTACAGAGCGAGATCCAGAACAAGCTCCAAAACTACACAGAGAAACCCTGTCTCGGGGCAAAAAAAAAGTCTCTTCAAAGGGTACGCTCTCTATTCTGGTAGAACCCGCTTCAGACAAAACAGCAAAACCAGAGGGCATCATACTTCTGGGCAGCGTATAGCAATGTGTGTTCAAGCATCTCCCCCCACTGAGGCGAGCCTCCCCGCTGTCCTTTCTGTGCCCTTCAGAACCGGGAGAGGAAGCACAGGACGTACGTGTACGTGCTCATTGTCACGGAAGTGCTGGAGGACTGGGAAGACTCCGTGAACATTGGTAAGTCACCGCAGGACTCGGGCAGCGCCCCACCAGCCTGTCATGTCCAGGCAGGCACTGTCCTGCTGGCTAGGTGAAATGCTAGCGCGGCGTACTAAATGAACAGGCGGCTACCGCTTGAAGCTGAGGAAGTTAGGATTTAAGGTGTCTAAAGAGAAGCTGACTGAGGCTTTAATCCCAGCACTCAGGAAACAGAGGCAGGTGGATCTCTGTGAGTTAAAGGCCAGCCTGGTCTACAGAGTGAGTTCCAGGACAGCCAGGACTACACAGAGAAACCCTGTCTTGAAAAACCAAAAAAAAGCAGCTGAGTTTGAGAATAGAGCTAACAAGTGGAAACATGTCCCATAAAATTTAGAAATGTTTCTAAAATAAGATTGGATCCTCCTCAAAAGGGCTATACTGCTCTATCTTTTGAACAGATACTGACCTGGGGCCTCTGCCATGCTGGGCACTGTTGGCCATCAGGACCAAAGATGAGAGTGAGATGTGGTCTTGTCTTAAGCTCTCATTCGTATACTGGGTTGGGGCGTGCAGAAGCGGGGTCCCTGTGAGCATGTGCAGGGATGAAAAGAAGACCAAGATGGGCATGTTGTGTGCCTGTTCTTGCCACTCAGCCTGGCAGGGGCCACACCCAGGTTTAAGGTACCATTGCTTGTTAGTACCCAGACAAGCCTTTTCCTCAATTCTTAGCATTGCTCGGTATTAACTCCAGTGAAGGCATCTAACGCACAAGGAACGAGCCAGTGAGGCTTATTTATTATACATACAGTGTTCTGCCTGCATGTACACTTGCATACCAAAAGAGGGCACCAGATCCCATTCTAGATGGCTGTGAGCCACCATGTGGTTGCTGGGAATTGAACTCAAGACCTCTGGAAGAGCAGCCAATGCTTTTAATCACTTAGCCATCACTCTAGGCCCCGGGGTGCACATACTTCTGACTTTCCTGTCTAGCCACTTGAATACTGAAGGCACAACTGTATACCATCCCACTCAGCTCCCCGTGACTCTGCTAGTGAAAAGTTGGGTCTTCATTGTAGATCACAAGTGAGTAAAGCTGCATTCATCTTTTGAAATGTTAAATATCTTCATGGTGCTATCACGGGAAAGTGGCTGATGCTGCAGAAGTCAGGGTAGAGAGAGAGAGTGTGTGTGTGCACTAATTGGAGCCTCCTCAGAATGGGAAGTAGACAGTAGATGTGGTGCCTCACACCTGGGCTGCCCTGTCTACAAAGTAAGACTAGAGCTGTGGCCGTGTGCTAGACTGCTAGCCTAGTGTGTAGAGGTCCTGGGTTCTCTTCCCTATGTCTGAGCGGGGCTGGCAGCGGAAGCCGTTCTGGGAAGCGCTCCAGCAGCAGAGCTTTGGAAGGCCGGTGTTGCTGGGGTCGTCCTCAGGCCCTGGATCCTCTCCTGGAGAAGTGAGAACAACAGATGAGTGTCTTTTCTCCACCCAGTGCTGGAGCATTTGCTCATCACACGTAAGGCCCGGGTTCCATCCACACATACACACAACCTGTCTCTCTCTATATATAGACGTGTGTGTAGAGGTAGATATAAATGAAAAATCATGCTGCCAGTTGGTGCTGGCACACCCCTTTAATCCCAGCACTTGAGGAGGCAGAGGCAGGTGGATCTCTGTAAGTTTGAGGCCAGCCTGGTCTACAGAGTGAGTTTCAGGACGGCCAGGGCTACACAGAGAGACCCTGTCTCCAAAAACAAAAGCAAAAAAATAAAAGAACAAACTACAATAAAAGTTTAACCCATGGGGGCCAGAGAGATAGCTCAGTGGTTAAGAGCACTGGCTGCTCTTCCAGAGGACCCGGGTCAGACTCCCAGCACCCACGTGGTACCTCACAACCCTCCTGGCTCCAATTTCAGGGTTTCTGATTCCCTCTTCTGGACTTTGGACACCCGGTACGCATGTGGTATACATACATATTCAGACAGAACACTCACACACATAAATAAGTAAATCTGAAAAGACAAAAGCAGACTCCTCCTGTCAGGTACTGGGTGCTGATAGTATTGAGGAGCCTTCTGTAACTGATCTTGAAAGCAGTCAGGAGGTGAGTCCTACTTATTATCTACCTTAGAGACAAGGAAACTAGGGCACTGAGGGTCCATGACTTGGCCAGGGCTCCCCAGCTGGAGCCGGTGATTGCTGGGGTCCAGCACACTGACTTCATGGCCTTGCTCCTGTATTTTTCTGCACTGTTGGAAGTAGAAGCCTAGACCTCACGCTAGTGTCCAGTCACCGAAGTCACTCCACCTCTGCTTCTCCGTTTTGAAGCAATCCTATTTTACTGTTTATAAGAGAAAAGCAAGCCAGTTGTGGTGGGCACGCCTTTAGTCCCAGCACTCTGGAGGCAGAGGCAGGAGGATCTCTGTGAGTTCAGGGCCATCCTGATCTATATAGCAAGTTCCAGACAGACACTGGGGCTATCAAAAGACCATGCCTAAAAACAAACAAACAAACAAACAAAAAACAAATTTTAATAAAAGTAGGCACAAAATAGTAATTTGTTAAGTTGTTGTTTTCTTTTTTCTAAATTAGCATGTATGTTGTATGTACATGTGGGTGCATTCTTGTGATTTTTTTTTCCCTCAGACAGGGTTTCTCTGTAGCCCTGGCTGGCCTGGAACTCGCTCTGTAGCCCAGGCTGGCCTTGAACTCACAGAGACCCGCCTGCCTCTACCTCCCGCGTGCTGGGATTACAGGCATGCACCGCCACCGTGTGCTGTGTGGGTGTGCTCTCGCCATGGCGTGCACATGGGGTGAGAGAAGAGCTCTGTGGGATCAGCTCTCGTCTTTATTTCGTGTGGTTCCAGAGCTTGAACTCGGGTCTCCAGGCCCACACAGCAAGCGCCATCGCCTCTGGGTCGTCTCAGCAGCCCCTTATTTTCTGTGGCAGATCCGTCACTTACAGAGTTTTTTGAATAAAGAAGGAGTATGGTCAGCCATCCTGAGGATCCTGGCAGCTGATGCTGATGCTGATGTTTGCCGAAGATGAGGAGGTTGGGCCCCTCCTTGGAGGTGCAGGCTGACTGCGCTCAGAGCCTGGAAAGGGTGGCGGGCAGAGCAGAGCCAGCAGTTCTCAGTTGGGCCAGCCCGTCTGCCCCCAGTTGGCTCTGTAGAACACTGGAATTGGATAGGGCGCTGGCCTTACCATTGTAAGGAAATAAAAGGAGTGAGAGGCCTTGCTGTGGGACGTGGGGTTGAGAAAGGCTCTCGGGTAGCCTAGGCTGGCCTTGGGTTCCCCGTGTAGCCAAGAATGACCTTCCATTCCTGATCCTCCTGCGTTCCCCTCCGGAGTGCGGGAATCCCAGGCCTACAGCAGCCCTGAAGCCTGGCCTGCGTGTTCTCCCGACCCTCTCAGAAGTGTCCTCACTGCCCCAGCCTGTCTTCATCTCTCCCTCTGCCTCCACAGGAAGGAAGAGAGAGTGGTTTACAATAGAAGATGCCATCAAAGTGCTGCAGTGTCACAAGCCCGTGCAGGCGTCCTACTTCGAGACGCTGAGGCAAGGCTACTCTGCCAACAACGGCACCCCTGTCGTGGCCGCCACCTACTCCAGCTCTGTGTCAGGCATCAGATGACTGCAGACTTCCTGTAAGAGCCGGAGAGTGGAACCCAGACTCAGTGTGGCTCTCCTCACCACCCCCCACCCTCCTCACAGCTCCTCTTCGACCCGGGCGTGGTGGGCAGCAGAGGGTACACTGAGGTGCTGCTGTGGGTGCGGGGTGATGTGGGTGGGTGTGGCGTGGTGGGAACTTTTCTCTTTCTCTTCTTCCTGAGGTGGGGACTGGGATGTAAGTCACGAGGACTTTCCTGCATGCTCCATCCTCCCTTGCTCGCCCTGCCCTCACACAGGGAACCCGTTCTGCCCCCTGGGTTCTCAAGCGTTCCCATTCGCCTGATCCCAGCCTGGCCAGACATTTTCTCTGATTTTTTTTTTTTTCCATTAAAAGACACCCATGGTGAGATGAAACTTTGTAGGAATCTGTCCTGTGATGTGCTGTTGAGCCCCGTGGGTCGGCTGTGGTCCTTCAGGATGCATTTGTCTATGTTTATACCCCGACCTGATATGTAAATGAGTGATTTAGAAAGAGGATCTTGACTGTTTAGTTTGTCGTTTTGCTTTTTGTTTTTCATTTTTATTTTACTTTATTTTTTATTCCAGGTATTTCTAGTTTAAAGCCCCTCACACTTCACATGTTTGTTCCAGTGCTAAGTGACCAGGCAGGTTTTCCTGTCCTGTATCCCCAGCCACGGTGAGCTTAGCCATCTTCCTCATGCACCCGGGACCCTGGTCTTCTCTAGGCTGTTTCCATGCCAAGGAACCTGTTTTCTGTTCCCAAGCCTGGAGCAAATGGCCTCAGCCCAGAGCCAAAGAAACAGTGATATAAATAGAATTCTGCCCGATATGTTCACAGTAGGCTTTAAACTGGATACCTTCACTGTCTCAGAAACTGGACCATCAAGCACCATGTCTGTCCTGCTGGCTGGGAATTTTTTCCATAACGCTGTTCATTGCTGACATGGCCTCTCTTACCCTTGTCTGCCTTACACCACACTGACCTGGATATGGCCCCATGCTCTGAAGCTGTCCTGCACAGTCCTGTCCCCACGCTGAGAGGCCCCCTGCGGTCCTGAGAAGTACATGGGGAAAGTGTGCCTGTGTCTCTGAGGTCTGAGCATGTGCCAAGGGCTGCACCAAGAGCATGCTCAGAACATTAGCTTGCTGTGTGCCCTGTGGGAAAGGTCATCTGTAGGAGGGGCTCACTTACAACCCTCTGGCTTGTGCAGACTCTGGTTGGTGTTCTGTGCTGAACTCATCCTCCAGTTGTGGTGTTTAGTTGGGACTTAAAGGGGCTTGGACAGGGCCTTGATCAAGGAGGGTGGGAGGGAGCTGATTCCTGGCTTAGTGTGGGGCTTGGTACTCTGTGGCATTGCCTGTGTTGAAAAGTAGCCAAGATGTGAAATTAAAATAGTACTTCTCTTTATTTAAAAACTAATAAATACTCAAACTTTGAAAAGTTTTTGCTCTTCACTCCACTTAAGGAATGTATGTCATAACCTGAGGCATCAATATTCCTCACTTTTTGGGTGTCAGCTGGTGAACTTTACATTTTACATATGTCTAATTTGCATTTTGTCCCCCAGTGTTGACACACAGATCCCAACTCAGTGTGGGTGATGGGTCGTGGACTCTCTCAGACCTCTGGGACAGGAATGGCCTCCCAGGCTAGGGCGCAATGGGTAGAAGAAGCACCATGGGATTTGAGTCCAGAGACCCACTTGCTCTCTTTGTGGGTCAAGCTTGTAGACAGACACTGCTGCGTGTTGCCTGGCTTAGAGCATTCTAGAGTCCTTCTGCACACACAGAGGAAACTTAATCCCAAGCCACGTTGTTTGGAAGCAGCTCTGCCGGGCACACAGCGAAGGCGCTCTGCCGGGCACACGGCGAAGGCGCTCAGCCGGGCACACGGCGAAGGCGCTCTGCCGGGCACACGGCGAAGGCGCTCTGCCGGGCACACGGCGAAGGCGCTCTGCCGGGCACACGGCGAAGGCGCTCTGCCGGGGACTGCACTCTGCAGTGTGCTGGCTGGGCCACTGTTTGCATAACCGGCCCCCAAGGCCAGTTTTGATTGTTCTTGGAGTCACTGGGTCAAGAAAGTGAACGGTGCTGAGTCCCCTCAGTGGCCCCGTGGTCCTGTGACAGCAGTCAGCGGCAGCAACTGGGCCACCACATTCACTGACAAGCCAGCTCTGAAGAGTCAGGATCTGGTGCTTTCCTGGGCCCAGCAGGAGGGCTGGTGTTTTTCCCTCCTGGCACAGCCAGTGTGCTGGCTGTGGCTGCTGGCATAGTTGGAGACCTTGTGATAGATTGGTCAGGCCCCAGCCTTTAACTTGGTGAAGAAGGTAGAGAAGAAAGGAAAAAGAAATCCAGCCCATCGTCGATGCCGAGTCTCCGCTTATTTTCCCATGCTCCTTCCAGGCTTCGTGGGAACGGATTCCTGTGCTCAGTCTCTGGCTCGCAGTAAATTTGCATGTCCTAGATTCTGTTGCTGCTGAAATACCCATTAGAGTCCACCATACTGGGGTAGAAAAAGATAGCATAGAGTGTTTTTTAAATTTTTTTAAAGATTTTTTTATTTATTATGTTTACAATGTTCTGTCTGCATGTATTCCTACACCCCAGAAGAAAGAACCAGGTCTCATCATAGATGGTTGTGAGCCACCATGTGGTTGCTGGGAATTGAACTCAGGACCTCTGGAAGAGCTCCTGTTGATCTTAACCTCTGAGCTACCCCACCCCACTCCCCCACCCCGAGTGTTTTTAAATTTACAAAAAAAAAAAAAAAAAACTTTGTCTGTTTGTGATTTTAGACATTGGAGAAACACCAGTGAGGTCATGTGATCTTTTTAAGCCAGGAGTTAACTGTGCATATGTGATAGGAGAACAGACAAGCAGCAGGAAGCCAGCTACAGTTTAATCCCAGAGCAATGCTTACAGTCTCAACATTTGGGAGGCTGGAGCGGAGGGTTGTTGCTGGTTAAGGCTAGCCTGGGCTCCATAGTCTTTTTCTGGGGGGTGGGGAGAGAAATGAATAAGCCATGTTATGTTTTCTGTAGTCAGTCTAACAAGAGTCCTGGCAGTTTCCACAAGGTGCTCCTGGAGAAAGGCTCCGTCCCCACCCAGGAGGCTGCTGAGAGCCGAGAATCTGGGTACAGAGGACTTGTGTCCTCTGCCTTGTGCTGCACAGTCCTGAGACAGGGAGGCCACTGGAGGCCTTGCTTCCTGCGGCCCCAGGGCCCGTGGCGGGTTACTGCGCCCAGGAGTGGGTCAGAGTGTTGTGTACAGCTGTTCAGTGTTGTGTACATAGCGGGTTCCTTAGCGGAAAAGAAATACTGTGTGTGCGGGAGGAGCTGGCCCACGAGCCTCTGGGCTGGCTGCGGAGGAGAGGGCAGCTCTCAGGGAAGCCCGCAGCTGCCCTCCATGCTGCCCCTTCCTCCCCTCTGCATTCTCCCTGGAGGCCAGTTCTGCAGCTCAGCTGGGCGGGGCCTGTGGTCCCCCGCTGTGTGTTTGGCAGGCTGTCCTTCATTCATTTCTCATTTCTGCCCCATGCTGGCACACGCCTCCAGTCCCATCTTCATCTTAAAAATAGCTCAGCCTGAACCACATGCCCCTCCCGGGTCACAGAAAGGCCTGAAGGAGCACTGTGATCACACACACACACACACACACACACACGCACGCACGCACGCACGCACGCACACACGCACGCACACACACGCACTCGGTTTCTCTGTGTAGCCTTGGCTGTCCCGGAACTCACCCAGCAGACCAGGCTGCCTCTGCCTCCCGAGTGCTGCGCCCGACGGCATGCGTCACCACTCCAGCTAAGCAGTGTGGTTTGTGTTACCGTGGGCTGATTTTGCTATTTTTGAAGTGTACTCTAAGCGTGTCCTAGTTGAGGTAAGATTTAGAATTAAAGGGGAAATACCTGAAGAAAATTTTTTCAAGAAAAAGGAGAAATGGCCATAACTGACAGTGCTTCCGACTACGTTTCAGAAAACAGTCCTCTTTTCTTGACAAAGCGGGGTGGGGACAGGATGGGGCAGCCAGACAGCATGGGGGTGCAGGGGTGCAGGCAAGCCATTTGGCTCTTTGGAAAGGTACTTCTGCCTGCTGCCGAGAGCGGGGTCTGCTCTCTCCTCCACCTGTGTGGAGCCTGTTTCTCTGTGTGCAGTGATGGCCCAGCAGTGACCCACCTGTCATTTGGAGTGTGCAGAAGCGGAGCCCAGTGTCCAGGGGGCTCTGTTTTCCCCATCACAGTATAACACTGAGACAGGTTGACTGCCATCTGAGGATGCTCCTACTCTGGGCCCCCAGATCCCCTTTCCCACTCTGCATCTTTGTGCTGTGGTCGTGGTATTTCGCTAGCCCAGAGACTTGGCAGCCGAGTGCTGGAAGGCTCTAAGAAGCTTGATCAAGGGCCCGAGAGTGATGCCCGTGGCAACCAGCTTGTCCTGACCCCTTCTCACTTGTGATATTTGGGTACACTCCTTGAGGCGAGTCCAGCAGTGTGGCTGTCTGTGACAGGAAGCTCTATTAGAGTTGCTCCTGCCCCATACCGTGATGACTCGGGGAGCATTAGCGTGTCTTAGATATTGGTGCATGCCCGGGGAAGGAGAGCACGGTATGGTACGAAGACTGTTCTTTCACAAGCCAGAGGGCCTCTGCTGGGAAGGAGGAAGCCGTGGTGAGGGCCTCTACAAGGCCAAGTCACTGCTTCTCCCGCCCTGATGGTCAGTTGTCAGCCCAGGGTTCTTCATCACCTAACGAAGAGCCAGTTTTGAGCCCTAACACTTACCTGACCTATTAGACAACACTGGAAAAGGCCCCATATTTTATTTATTTTGTTTTTTCCAGACAGGGTTTCTCTGTAGTTCTGGCTGTCCTGGAACTCTCTTTGTAGACAAGGCTGTCCTTGAACTCACAGAGGCCTGCCTCTGCCTCCCGAGTGCTGGGATTAAGGGTAAGCATCACTGTTCCTGTTCAGAGCAGTCTCTAACCGAGGAGGGGAAAGGATGGGGGCCTCAGTCTGGCTGTTGGGCCTCTGGGCTCCTATGAAGTGGCTGCTCATAGGAAATCTTGTTGCATGCAAACTCGTGCTGGCCATTTCTTCATTTGAGCTGCCAGCCTGGCTCTTTGGCCCTGAGTTAAGCAATCTCCTAAGCCAGTAATGGATCAATAGCCTCTCCCCTCCTCTGGACAGCGAGATGCTCTTGAGGGATAACTGAGCCTTGGTTATCAGTCCCTCTGGGACGGAGAGACGCACCATTTATGAGAAGTCAGTAGTGTGGGTTATTCTTTGCCTATAGTTTAAGAGACCTGGCTTTCCCATGGGAAAGCCGAGAACAGGCCAGGACCACCCAGGAGTAGGTCTGGGGTGAAGCTTGAGAGAACACCGATGAGGAAGCTTTTCCAGAGAGCCAGAGGCCATGTCCCCCTGAGAGAGGGAGGGTAGACTTCCAGACTGCAGCCCACAGGCAGTCTGTACCTGTGGCTGTGAGCCTTGGTCTCAGAACTTCCCAAGGGGCTTCTAAACCATAACAGAGGGCTGAGGAGGTGGCTCCATTAGTTGAATACTTGCCCAGCATGCATAAGGCCCTGGGTTCTGTCCCCAGTGCTGAAAAGCAAAGACCTGCGTAGCCTGGGCTCTTGGGCCTCAGCAAACACGTGGTGTGCTCTGTAGAGGAGCAGAACGTGGTTCTCCTCGAGACAGAGCTCACTGGGCCAGCCCGCCAGTCTGTTGTAAAAGAACAGCCTGCAGGATGGTTCTGTGTGTGTTGGCTGTTCTCCTGTTCCTGGGGTCTGAACACTTGCAGCTGGTAATAACCAAAGAAAAGGGTGGTGGTTAAAAGTAACATTTGAGTTAGCCCAGATGGCTCCCAGTTGGGTGACTGCTTAAAGGAAGTCGGAGCACGTGAAGGCGTCAGAAGCCACTGTGAAATGAAAGCCAAGTGCTGCCCTACCTGCCTCGTTGAGGCCAAGCAGGAGCATCTTGTGTCTGCCTTTCTGGCTCTGCCTGGCTCAGGGGTCTTGCCTCCATCCCGTCCAGAACTCCGTGGGGATGGATCTGAGGTAGCAAGGCCCTCGTTCTGTGGTGACTGCTGCTGCAGAACGTGCCTCCACCACAGTTACAGCCCTGCCCGCTCCACTCGGCAGCAGAGGGTATGGTGGCCAGGACATTCCATCTAGAAGATGACCTGATGTGCTCCTCCTGTTGGGTGTGCGCGCTGTCCACACACACTCTCCTCATCCAGGGAGCCCACCAGAGGCGGGCAAAGCAGCCAGGACACGCCGAGTGTGGCCCTTTTGTCCCGTTAGACCTTTTAGCTAAGGCAGAATGGTCAAGTTTAGCAGCGTCTGCAAAGCTGAGACAGTGAGGCCAGGTACCCAGGGCTTCCTAGGGCACATGGGGTATGGCCGACATACCAAGTGACGCAAGGTGAGTGGAGGAGAGAA